TAAGATATACAAGGTGATCCACGCAAAAGCTTTCGATAATATCTGTAATTTATGGGAGTTTGGGAAATTTTTATCTAAAAACTAAAAGAAATGTTATTTTTTTTACTTTTGCTTTTTTCGTTACTATTTACTATTAATCGCTAGAATTATCCTTGATGATAAACTCTAAATTGTTTAGAGTAAAATCAGAGTTTTATTAATTACGCAAAAAAATATTTTGCTGTTTCAGCTAAAATTATAGCTATTTTTTTGTATCTGATATAAAATTATGTATCATACGCGTAGAATTCGTAATACATATTTAATTTCTATCTCTGTCATCTATATGATTAGATATATATCCAATATCGCAGTACTTGCTAGACATTTATCTATTTTAGCTATTTTTTGAACTTAGATAATTTTCGCTGTAACTGCAAGATTACTTTTTTGAGTGATTGTATTGAAATTCCAAAAATAATTTTAAAAGTAAGATAAGGATGTGGATGTCGCTATTTCCAATGATTTTCCATCGAAACAGTTTGTAACAATTGCATGTGGTCACCTTGTATATACATATTGTATTAGTATATTGACGAAACTTGCTTACGAACGATCACGGGACTGACGTAATATCTCCTAGGCCCCACTACGCGAACCGAAGATCGGATCGAGGTTTCAAAGTCCCTGACGAAGAGCAAGCGAGCGCCAGTATACTCCTTTCGTTACTGAAGGTAAGATACGTATATAGAAAGTATTGGAAATAATCAATCATCAAGCGTAGAATGTTACGAAATAATTAATACGTTGAAAATTAGAAAGAGTAATAAAATATCGCTTGGAGAAATAAAATTCTTGAAGAATTAAATGTATAAAACAAAAAAAAATTTTTCGATTAATGTTAATTGTGTATTGATTCCCAAAGATCATTTGATTTTCTATATTTCTTTGTTGAACTATAACTAATCGTGATAATATAATATTTTGGATAAAGTATTTTCGTTTATTTTTAGACAAATTGCACGGAAAAAGTATTATCGCATTAATCTATTAATAATTAGGCTAATGCAAAGTGACATACATTTAATATTTGTTCGATGGATTGGATTAATTTCGGACTCGTTATAATTTCAGACAGCGAAGATGAAGACGTTACTCTCGGTCGTTTTCGTGGTGCTGTTGATCAAGGTAGTGTTCAGTGCAGATCCTAATGAGCACAATAAAGTAGTCTGCTTTTGGAATAGTACCGCTTATGAGAGGCAAGGTGAGGTCGTTTGTGCTAGTTATATTCATTACTCATTCTCTTGAGACGCATAAAGCCTGTGTTGAAATATTCATAATCTTATAGATTACCTAAAGAAAATAATTTTCTCGAGAATTGCTTCTTGAGAATTAGAAGTTATCAAGCGTGTATAATATTTTTCAGGAAATTTTGAAATAAGAAATAAGAATTTAAGAAATAAGATTTTTGGTGTAACGTTCACTAATTTTATTATGCAACAATAATAAAAATTAAAACATGCGTTATATTTGTTTACAATTATAAGATAATATAATTAAAAATAACTTTTTATTATCAAGTTACAAAAGTGAGTCGTTTATGAAAAGATAATTTTTTGTTTATCTTTTTTTGGATTTTAAATAGCAATAGCAAACGTTAAATATAAATTTTGTAAATTCAAGTTTAATTAATATTGTAATATAAAATACATTTTTATTAATTATGTTATTTTATATCTAACATTTAAAAATTAAAATTATTATGAAACAAATATATGTATTAACATTGTTCCACTGAATTTATTATATAATATTTCCTATTTTAAAATATTTGTAGCTAACAGTAATATAAAGTCTACGTCGGAACTTCTCTGGCTTGTATTTATTAGAGAGTTTATGTCGGTAGTTTGTGTTTGTGCTGAACTAGACATTAAAGTCAAACACACCGCAAAGAGCATTGTAAATCTCTAAACATAAACATTCCACAAGTCAATTTATAACTAGAAGCTAATATCACAAATTATAAATGTGAGAATTAGATTTTTTTATGTTTTTCAACCTTCAATTTTTTTAATTGTTAAAACAATTATTTATTTACAAGATATACGCTTTATGTGCACCAAGGTTTTTTTCAGTTAAAATAATTATTTCTCGTTACCAAGAAATGCGCTTTATGTTGACAAAGCTTTTTTGTTTTTAAAGGTCCAGCAAAATTCCAACTTGAGGACGTTAGATCCGCCTTATCTCTTTGTACTCACCTTGTCTACGGATATGCTCATATCAATTCCGAGTTCGAGATTGTTCCCGGTTCGCCGAGTTTAGATACTGGATCGGGCTATTCCTATTACAGACTCGCTACGCAGTTGAAGCGATCGTTCCCCGATCTTAAGGTTTATCTGAGCGTTGGGGGAAATTCAGATCCTTACGATGAAGAACACAAATACCTCGTGTTGGTGAGTGCGATATCGATGTTATGATTTTATTGTCTCGAGTAACAATTTTTAATATTCAATGAAAAAGATCATTAAAGTAAAACTCTTCATATCTAATTTAAAGTAATCGAAGGATACGTTCAGAAATGAAATAAGATTGCAATAATTAGCAAAAAAGCAATAAAATAAAGACTGAAGTGAAATAAAATTTTTGAAATCAATAGACCGAGACTTCGGAAGGCAGAACAAAGTTTATCAACTCTGTAAACCGGCTGCTGAACGACTACGACTTCGACGGAATTGACTTGGCATGGCAGTTCCCACCGGTCAGACCCAAGAAACAGCGCAGCACTTTAGGGTCCATCTGGCATGGTCTCAAGAAAAAACTCGGCTACGGCAAATACCAGGACGAGAAGGAGCAGGAGCATCGCGATGGTTTCACAATCTTGGTCCGTGATCTCAAAGCGCAACTCAGACCGAGATTTAAAGCTTTGACTCTCACGGTGTTGCCTCACGTTAACTCTACCGGTTAGTATTCCAAGTGAACAATAATTAATTAATAATAAAATTAATAATAGTATTATATATTAATAATTATTGTTTGTGATCCTGATTATTGATGGTAAGCAGACCTTTAAAAGATCTTATAGGATAGAAGCCTAACATTAGTCAACTTATTACTGTTTGGAAAGAAATATTTTGCTGAGGTTTTGCTGAAATATTAAAAAATTTAGCTAAATACAAATCTGAAAATAATTTGTTAAGATTATCAAAACATAATTTAGGACGCTCAAATTAGTTGCTAGCACCGAAAAAATTGTATTCTTAATTTAAGAATATCTCACTTACGTTATAGTATGTTTTCCTCTAAAATAAGCACCAAAATTCTCAATTTAAGATTCTTAATTTAAGAGGGAAATCATCTAAATCATCATATTCTTAATATAAGAATGTACATGATGTCCTATTTTTAACGATGATCTTAAATATCTTTTGAACAATACATTTTAGAGAAAAATGTTTCAGACAAAAGTTGCATGATTTTAAGGAGGGGGACATCATCAAAAACCACGTGAAGCGCGACGATCGCTTTCGCAAATTAAGAATATATTATTAATGTAAGAGGAAATATTCTTATATCTACTTGATACTTTAAAATCACTTTTTCCGTGTAAAAAGCAGTAATTACTTATTTGAAGCAAAAAGCATTGAACAATAATACTTTTGGCACTTAAAATAAGTAATTAATACTGTCTTTCAGTATTAAATTGGTCAGTATCTATAATATATATTGAATTTCTATAGAGGGTATCTATAATTGTAAGTAAATTATACGTTTTAAACATGATTACATGTTTTTCTTTGACAGTTTACTACGACGCCAGATTATTGGCGCCCAACATCGAAGCCGTACATCTTTTCGCTTTTGATCAAAAAACACCAGAACGCAGTCCAAAGGAAGCTGACTTTACGGCACCAATCTATGCCAGTTACGGCCGTATAGCGGAAGACAATATCGATGTTGCTGCAAGGTAAGTCTCGCTCCTTTTCCACAACGCGTCTCCATTATTTTCCCGTATCGTCGCGAAATGTAGTTTAACATAACGCAATCAATTTATGGCAGTTACGGAGACGAGGGAGACAATATTGACGCTGCAGCAAGGTAAACATACCTCTCTTCCCGTAATCCACTTATTAATTTTAATATATGTATAAAATACAGCATATACATATACCCCGCCCAGTAAATTTACATGCAATTCTCATTTTTTATTTTCCTTAATTTTTCTACATTAAATTATCATACTCAATTTTATTTTCTCCTGTGCTTAATTCATAATTTGTAAATAAATTATATGATGCATAATTTATTTTTTATCAAGTCAATTACTATTAATAATATTTATAATATCTATCTATACATTAACATTCATAAATATCCATAAATATTCATCAACAATCTTAACATCTCAGAAGCTAAAAGATTATGTCTACATTTATGTAAATGTATCCTTTTTATACTGGGCGCCTCTCTAACCTTGTCGACTAAAAGCGGGGGCATTTTGCACAAAGCACCGCTTTTACAGCTCGATAAGAATAGCATCGAAATAACAAAAGTAATTCCCCAGGTACTGGTTGGAGCATGGGACTCCCGGTAGCAAGATCGTCGTCGGTATTCCTACATACGCTCGCACGTGGAAGTTAACAGAAGACAGCCAGATTTCCGGCGTGCCGCCCATCGTGTCCGACGGTCCAGGTGCCCCCGGGCCCAACACCAACGAACCAGGATTGCTGTCCTATGCTGAGATGTGCTCCAAGCTGACCGAGCACGCGGCGGGACGTTTGAGACGAGTCGGCGACCCATCCAAGAAGTACGGCAGCTACGCTTATCAGTCTTACAATGGTGAAATTGGAACTGAGGGACTCTGGGCGGGCTACGAGGATCCAGATACCGCCGGTAACAAGGCTGCATTCGTGAAGTCCAAGGGTCTCGGCGGTGTGGCGATCGTGGATCTGTCCCTGGATGATTTCCGGGGTATTTGCACCGGTGACAAGTATCCTATCATTAGGGGAGCTAAATATAAGTTGTAAAGAGCGAAGATTCGATCGGAAGTAATCGGAATCGAAATTCGAATCTATTTCAATATCCGACTGAAGGAAGCTCGGAAAAAATATTTCTGATGCTGCCACGATTTGCGTACGATGGTCGTATTTATATGTATTGTCCGACGAGCTATCAAGACTTTTAACGAGAGAATTGTTAACGGGAGAATTTTAATGAGGCTCGTGATGCTGTCACTTCGAATGTATTGTACGTGAGGATAATAAAAAAATATCGCTGCTTTATTATTCAAATAGTTTGATCTTAATCCTGCCTATTATTTTTGAAAGATAAGCTCATCCTGTAAAAAGAGTGCATGAAAATCTTCTAAAAGTTCTGCTTGCATATAATTGCCTAATATTGTCTCATATACAGAAAAAAAATGTACTAAATTTTAACAAATATTTGATTACACTTAACATTTATTTACGGTAAATAAATGTTTACTACATAAAAAGAAATGATAGTTAAATCAAATTAATGGTTCTTGTATCAATAAATATATTTACATTTAATAAATATTCAGCTAGTATTAATCAAACAGATATTTATTAAAATTTAGTACATTTTTCTCTCAATGCAAGAATTCAATTTGCATACAATTATTGCACGTTAAAATCGTTGCCTGTAAAATAAAATTTAAAAAATTTGTATATTATCATCTAATTTCTAGAATGGATAAAATTATACAGTTTTACGAAATAAACTACCGTCGACTTCTTTATTTTATATTCGCTGATAAATAAGAAGGCGTTGATTCTGAAAAGGACAAAGGATAGAAAAATGGAAAAACTGGGAGTTACACATAGACAGAAACATTCACATATATGACATATATATATATTTTTTTATATAGATAATATATTTTTTCGTGCAGTCTATTTTTCCGGCCAAACGATATATTTGCACGGGTGTATAACAAAGGTTCTCCTGTAAATGGACTATAGACTCGTTAACATATCCAACATCGAAGATTACGTCAAACCAGATACAATTAATAATCCGCAGCCATTCTCACGCCGGTTCGAGTCAAATCTGCTCTCCTATCTCGACACAGTGAATTCAAAATAAAATTATAAAAGATACGCACACATAGTGAATCGTTGGTAAATCTGATTATCCTATCGTGATTTATTCGACTCGCAATCTACTGATCGTGCGTCTTGATCGTGCTGAACGCTGTGTGGTGGATCGTATCCTGTATCGTAGGCCGGTATTTATAGTCAATTCCTATTTCATCTTTCCTATTTTATCTTAAGTAATCTTTAAGTAATCTTACACCGAAAGAAAAGATTGGTTGCTGCAACAATTTAGGTAGTAAAATATGGCATAGTATTTTTATATGATTACAGCAACCAGTTTTTGGTTGTAACAGCAAATTTTTAGTTGCGTTAGCTTATCGAAATCATATACTGACATTGCGGATAGGCTAACGCAACTAAAAATTTATCTAAATTGTTGCAGCAACCAATTTTTTTTTTTTAATGTATGTAATAAACTGTATTAGCGCATCTTAAGTTTTAAGATACTAATACAGTTCTGTGATTGGTTCGTAATATTATAAGACTGTATTAATGATCTTAAATATAAGAAGCGACTATGAATACCGGCAATAAAAAAAAAACTAGTATTTCTTTTTACAAAATACTGGGAGTGGTAGCTTTGTCAATAACTTTATGCTCTCTCTACGCTATAGTTGATAATGCGATAGAGTTACGTTAACGAAAGAAAGGGCACTCGTGAGAATATATTATAACCGACAACATATAACAAAACGATACTTATCTAATCCCGCTTAATATTTCTAGGTCTACGATTATTTCACCTCGATTCGCAAGTCCATGCGTGTTAAAACCGATGGAGTCCTTGTAAATGCTCCTTAAATGCCACTTAGACATCCCTTACAAAAATTTGATACTGGAAGGTATGAATTAATTATTTGATTATTAAAAACATTGTTCTTAACAACAATGCTTTTAATAATAAAAATAAGTAATTTTTAGTATTAAACTGGCCAGTATTAAGTTGGACTTTTGTAAGAGGAATAGCGCAGGATCCGATGCAGAATCGTTTCTTCGTGGTCACTCACGAATAAAAAATGCAAATTAATTAAAACGCAGAAATGAATCAAAACTTAAGTATTGAAAGCAATTTGCTACTTTGACGATTACAAAGAACCTTGCCTATTTTGCATTTTTCACATCTACAGTAATGAATCATATACTGATGAATAAAGGAATGAATAGATTACATTAGAATATCCGTTGAAAAAAATGACAGATTCAGCAAGTCGCCTAAAAAAATAACCAACAAATAAAAGTTGCTTTTTTAAAAAGTAACTAGGGTAAGACGCTAAGACAATTTTGAATATAGTACAATTCAGAACGAAATAACATTTGAATCCAACTTTCAAAGTTCAAGTTTGGTAATCATTGTGTTATTGAAGAGGGTACCAAATGGGAAAAAAGTCAAACTTGAACATCAAGAATTGGATTAAAAAAAATCTTATTTTATTCAGAACTATATCATGTTCGAAATTGTACCACCTTATTCTATGTTTCATTTATATCAATTGATTCATTATTCGTTATTCTATTCATAAAAATATTACAGCACAGTTATAAAAAAATAAACGAATTTTACATTTTAAGTTAAAATACACTATTAAAAAAAACAGAAATTTGCTTCCGTTATATGTAATGGAAGCAAATTTCAAACAGGTACATTAAAAATATTTAATGCTGTGTCAATGATAATAAAGTTATAAATAACTTAAATTTAACATTAACTTACATTAAATTTAAATCTACATAAAATTTAATGAAAAATGCATTAAACTTCGTAAAATTTTATGAAAAGTGCACCAAATTTCATATACATGTACACGAATATATTTTTCAGTTACATTAAACGTAATTTAGTGTTATATAAAATTGAATTGATTTTATGTTACTTAAAAGTACATTTCATGACATTTTTAACAGTGTATAATGTGCAAATGTGTCGAATGTTTCAATATATCTCGGAACGACATGAAAAGAACTTCTGTGGAACATTTTGATCTTATAATATAATATTTCATTTTAGCTGACCTTCGTTATTAGGACAAAGGAATCCACATAAAAATGGGCAAGATTCTTTATATAAGATCCGATCGAGATTAGTACCGTACTCACTTTCATCGCTCGTACGATTTTAACGCGCAGTGAGCTCACGCGAACCGACTCTTCTCCCTGACGTTCGTGACGTTCGTTCGCGGACAGAAGAAGGGTTCGCTTTATCTATTTATTTATATGCTTGTGGGTTGTCTACGACACGACGAGGGAAAGTGCGTATCTCGAATCATCGCGTCACGAATTACAATGAAATCACACATCTTGTTTGTTTTATGTTTACTTAATATTGGAACGTTCATTCAAATGCTTAGATTTTATAGGCTTTAATGCTGTCGCGACGCAATATGGCACTTGGATTACGCGTGTACATCCATTGTTTGTAGGTACTTGCTGCTCTTCTCTGGATTATCGCTGTTAACGAGACAACTCGAAGAGCTAAGCGAACGTAGGAGGTATATCACAATATCTGTTATTTATTCTCAAATATAAACTGTTATTTGCCAGTTACTTCAGGTTCATCGTTAATTTAATAACGCGATAATATGAATGAAAGTCAAAGGTCAAGCAAACGGCTCGTTATCAAGAATTAATTATAATTACAAATGCCAGCTTAAAAAACAAAGTAAAATGTTCTATATTTTAACTTTGTATTATATATGTATATATTTTTTTTTAAATTAAAATGTACGTAATTGGAAGCAACAGTGTAAACTCCGCAATTTTTTATTTTCTAAAAACTACTACTTTCTCCATATCGTAAATGCGACATACTTCCTTCATCCACTCGTTCCTCCAATCGCAAACAAGCGATTCGCAAAATCGCTGTGCGTGAATAATTTTCACGCCCAACACAACCGATGTACCGTCGGTGTTATTTCTTGATATAAAAAATTATTCAGAGTAGTGTTGCCGCGCGAAACTTGGGAGGAGCTCGCGATTAAACGTCCGCGATGATCCCAGGCAGTTTAGTGGAATGAAATTGGTTTTACTTTCTCTCTTTTTTTCTCGCTTCCTCGCTAATCCTTGGTTCGCTTTTGCGCGAATGCGGGTACGAACGATTAATTAGCTCCGATTACACGGAGATTAAGTGGATCTCGACTTTTAAACCAAGCGACGAAGCGATATTTTTCACCCTGCAACGCGGTAATAGTGAGTAAATCGTTCATTACTAAGCTTTTTCTTTTTGAGTCGCGACACTGACCACTTCGTCCTATAAAAGTAAAAATGCCCGATCAAAGCAATAAAGGGATATTGGATCTCGAGATGCCGGAGTAGATACGCGGCGGATCAGATAGGTAGCTAAGAGGAAACAATCTCTATCTTCAAATTGAGAAAATAGCTAGGAAGAACGAAACGGAAAAAGTTTCTGTCTCTAGAAGTGCTTTGCGCGTTATCGAAGCCGCGATGGTTATCGAAAAAAGTGACGCTTCGGAAAAATCGTTGCGTAACGGTAACGCGATTTTCTCGTTATTAATCCATACTTAACGGTACAATGAAAGAAATCAAGACTAAAGATTAAAAAATATGAGACGATTAAAATTAATTGCAAATTATCAGAAAAAATTGTTGGAAAAATTATTAGAATTATTAAAAGAATTAATTATTAGAAAAATAGGGAAACAAAAATGAGTATTTGCAATTCCTTTCAACTAGCGATATCTAATACCGTTGCTACAAGAATGACTCTCTCTTACGACTCAAAATATACAAATTAGTATTCCTTTAGCAGAACATTTAATTTGCAACTGTTGGAAGTTTTCTTTATCGAGGATAGGGCTGTTTCTCTAAAAGTACAGTCCAATTAGCATCACGAACACTTTCAACAGTTACAAGCTAAACATTGTGCTGAAAGTGCTCATTAATGTAAACAACACAAGTAAAACTTTCAGACAATTTTCACATATAAGCAAAACTGAAATATATAAGTAAAAGACGAAGATAAATGCACACGGGAGATTTTTCGTCGCGCCGCGACTTCCCGTTTGTCCTTCCTCACGTTCTACAACTGAAACAAAGAATTAAAATCAAATAAAACTTACCGGAAATTAAGTGTACCAAAACAGACTCGAAGCTTCGATCTTTGCGGCTCTACCCGGCCGCGAGTAACGCCCGAAAGCAGGATTCCAGATACG